ATAAATAATAAAAAGATATTCATTCGAATGGTAAAGCATATACCAGATCTAAAATTAACATTAATAAGCACTAAACAAGCCGCTAAAAAGGGATGGGCAAGCGAAATACTACCCCCTGGAAACATATATAAGTTTTCGAATAAATCCCTTAATATAAAAGTGAATGCTAAATGGATTGATAATGCGAATGCGATATAAATTTTGATTTATTAAATCAAAATAAGAATACTATTTATAATAATAAGAATAAAGATTCTAAAATAGATCAAATAAATGAATCTAAAAAGGAATCTAAATCTAAAAAAGAATCTAATAATACGAATCCAAAGGATTTAGACCTATGGCACAAACGTCTAAATCATATAAATAAGGATTATATTATAAAAACACTAAATTTAAAAGATTCTAAAATAGATTTAAGTCATTGTGAAGCCTGTATATATGGCAAAATGACTCAAAATATTAGTAAATCCCTTTCGAATTTGAAATTAGACAAATTCGATAAAATTAGTACTGATATTTGTGGACCATTTAAAACGCCAGGTTTAAGAGGAGAAAAATATTTTATTACTTTCACTGATTGGGCTACGCGAGGCATATGGGTATATTCAATAAAATTTAAATCAGATGCTTTTAATATACTAAAAGAAGTATTTTATTTGATATATAATCAATTTAATACTAAAATAAAAGCGATAAGACTAGATAATGCAAAAGAATTTAATTCTGATCAATGGAATTTATTCGCTAAATCTAAAGGAATTATACTAGAATATATAAGTCCTCACCATCACTCCCAGAATGGAATAGCCGAAAAATTAAATAGATATCTAGTAGAAAGAATACTAGTATTTATAAAAGATAAAAATCTACCAATACTTCTATGGCCTAATATACTAAAGGGTATAGTTTATATTAAAAACAGACACTATAATAGAACTATAAATAGCTCACCCTTTAAGTTACTATATAATAAAGAACCTGATATAAACCATATTAGGGTTCTAGGATCTCTTGGATATGTATTAAAACATAAAGAAAAAAGAGATAATAAACTTGATTATAAATCAGAAAAAGGAATTCTAGTAGGATTTGAATCATCAAAGAATTTATTATTCTATATACCAAATCGAAATAAGATAATGAGTTCTAGTGATTTTATTATTAAAGAAGATATGATTTATTATAATAATAATATCAAAAATAATCTTACTATGAAAGACTTATTAGAAGGGATTAATATTGAAAGCCCTGAAACTGATAATCAAGAAGAAGAGGTAGATAAACATAATAATATATATAAAGATTTGAATAAAAATATTGATTCTGATAATTCTAATATTAATAAAAGCAAACTAATGGTTGAAATTCCATTTAATTCTAATTTGCCTACCCCTGTTAGACAGTCTAAGCGTACGCGAGGGGTAGAACCGCAATTAGATATATATAATCTCGCTTATTTGCAATATATAGAACTAGGGAATCAAGATTATAAATTCAAATTAAATAATATTGGTGACGATCAATATAAAGAAAATATTTTATTATGTTTCAGTATAAAAACTGAAGGAAAAGTAATAATAAAAAGGCCTTATAATAAAAATCTAATAACTCCTGAAACATATTCACAAGCTATAAATTCCGATCAAAAGGAATACTGGGAAAAAGCTATGAATTATGAAATAATGACCCTAGAAAAGAATAATACCTGGAATATTATTAAAAAGAATAATAATATAAAAGAGCTAAACGTCCTAAAAACTAAATGGGTCTATAAAATTAAATATTTATCTGATGATAATATTGAATTTAAAGCTAGATACGTAGCTAAAGGATTTGAACAATTATATGGATTAGATTATTTAAATACTTTTGCTAGCGTAATAAAGCAAATGGCCTGGAAATTGATATTTGCACTAGCTATAAATAAAGGGTGGTATATATATAAAATAGACATGATATTAGCTTTTGTACAGGGAGATATTGATAAAAATATATATATAACAGCCCCTGAAATATATCATAATAATGATATAATACTAAAGCTTAATAAGGCTCTATATGGATTAAAACAGTCCGCTAGAATATGGTATACTACATTAAAAAGCATATTAAATAAATTAAATTTTATAAATATAAAATCAGACGAATGTATATTCATAAATAAGTATTCGGGATTAATACTGAATATATTCGTCGATGATATTGCTATTGTAGGCTCTAGCGAGGTCCTAATAAAAGATTTTATTAAAAATCTTAAAAACTATTTAGATCTAAAAGATCTAGGTCCAATAAAAGACTATTTAGGTATTCAAATAAAATTAAATAAAGATTCTATTGAATTATACCAAGAAGAATACATAAATAAATGTCTAAAAGACCTAAAACTAGAGGATTGTACCCCTGTAGCTACACCTATGATCGCTAAAAATAATATTAAAATAAATCCAAATAAAGCGGATTTAGATAAAATAAAATGGGCTCAAAAAGCAATAGGGAAACTACTCTATTTAGCCCTAGGAACGAGATGGGATATCGCTTATTCTGTATTAAAATTAGCGAGATACACATCTAATCCTAGTAAAGATCATATAGTAGCTATGAAAAGAATATTTAGGTATTTAAAGGGGACAAAAACCTTAAAAACAATATATAAAAAGGATTATAAAAACTATATAAAAGGATATTGCGATGCGGATTATGCTGGAGATAAAAGCTCTGCTAAATCTACTAGTGGATATATATTTTTATTCGCTAATGGACCAATCAGTTGGAGGACTAAATTGCAATCTGTCGTAGCACAAAATACGGCAGAATCCGAGCTAATTTCCATAAATCTAGCCGCTAGAGAAGCTATATATTTAAAGCGTATTTTGCAGGAATTAAATCAATATAAACAAGAGAAATTCCCATTATATACAGATAATATGTCAGCTAAAGCTATATCTGAAAATCCTATATCACGATAGAAGTAAACATATTGATACTAAATACTATTATATAAGAGATCTTATAAACAAAGGGTATTTAGACCTAATTTGGATTTCTACCGAAAACCAATTAGCTGATGGTTTAACTAAACCATTAGAAAGAATCAAATTATCAAGATTTATTGATATGATTCAAAATTATAATAATTATTGAAAATATTATAATTTTTATAAATATATTAATACTCTTTTCCTATAAGTAGGTTTTTAATGAGACTAATATATATATATAATATTGGTACTCTTTCCTACAAAAAGGTTTTTAACGAGGTTAATATATATATATATAAGATTAATACTCTTTTCCTATAAGTAGGTTTTTAATGAGACTAATATATATATATAATATTGGTACTCTTTTCCTACAAAAAGGTTTTTAACGAGGTTAATTAATATATATAGATTATATTCTAAAAAGATAGTATATATTAAAGGGGACTATTGTTTTTATATAAAAAATAATATAATAATATATCTTTTTATATATATATATAGTTCTATATTCATATAGTATACTAAGAGCGAATCACAAGATCACATGATCAAATCACATGATCGTCGCCTTAAGAGAGCTCTTAGCCTAGAACGGCCTGAAAATCAATTCTTTATTAGCTCTTTATTAGTTCTTTCAATCCATTCGTAGTAAGATCGACATAGTACTAGCGAAATCGAATAAGGAATAAGAAAGAAAAGCTTTATTGATGGAATGGCCGGATTAGGAAGAGATCTACGAGAAATAAACGAAAGTGGAAAGCTAGATTAGTAGGAAAAGCATAAAATAAGGCCTTTTCCCCTCGAATATAGAAAAAGAAAATAAGAATATCATATACTGTTTCATGAAAATCACGTGTTTCATAGCTATTTAGTTGTTAATACGAGCCAGCTTCCCATAATAGACTAATATTAGTCTATTCCCTCTTATATACTATATACTCATATACTAGCTCATGACCTACGATAGTTAAGGAACCATATTATTTCTTTAAATACATTATAAACAATCTAAAATATTCAGACTAACCCCTTACCCCTATAGAAATACAATCTAACAAATAGGCAATCATATATATCAAGAAACTCTTATATATATCTAGCAAACTCATTCAACTAATCACTAACTCAGAGTTCTATACTCAGATCTATTCTAACTACTAAAGAATCCTTAAAAAGCAATAATCTTTTCAATAAAGCTTACTACCCATCCCTTATAAACTCATTATTCAACTAATCACTCAAATATATTATACTCTAAAAACCGCAAATTCAATATATAATATAAAAGCCTTATTATTCGGCTAAATAAATAATAATCTATTCTCACTTCTTCTTCTCTACTATAAGAATCGAAGCCTACAATAAGCCTATCCACCCAAAAACCAAGCTCTGCCTCAACAACAACCCGGATCAAACATTTCCTTCTAAAAACAAAAACAAATCGCATCTACAAAAAAACAAATAGCCCCTAGCATTGAAGTTAAATTGCTAAATTCGATTGTAATGATCACGCCACTCAAATAGTTCCTTATCTTAGCATATCTAAATACCCTTAGGGAGGTCCAAAACAGATGTTAATTAATATAAATAAATAAATAAATAAATAAAATCGCTATAAAGACATAGTATCTAGTAAGGACTTTGAATAAAAAGTAATAGAGAAAGGAGTAATAATAGAAGAAAAAAAAGGAGAAGAGAATGAAGAAAAAGTAGTTAAGAAAATAAGAGAGGGGTTTGACCTTCTTACAATTTCTTGAGTTTCAAAATTTTCTTATTATATACAATATATATAATGAGCGGGTATTGTTCCCCAGCATTTGTTTTCACTTTCCTAATTAGATTATATTCAATATTGTAAATTAAAAAGTTACCTGTTAGACCCTTAGGGCCTAGCTGTTCTATATAGTCTTGGACTGAAGATGGACGTTAATAAAATCAAATCAAAAAAAAAAAAAAATTGGTGGAGAAAGCACCATAGAATTTCCAGACGTGTCATGTTCAACATTCGAAATTTTCATGGTGTGGCTGAACACAGGTCATATCAAAAATGCGGGCACCTTTCGTCACAATATTGACCCAGACCACTGGCCACGAAAACCACTGACAGAACAGCTCTCCGAAGATTGGGATCAACTCATTAGTTGTTATCTGATGGCCGACTACATACAGGCGCCAAGATACACGAACCATATAATGAATGCTCTCATTGAAACATTGAAAAAGTTCGAATGGGTTCCGGTGAATGACGATTTCCCTCTTGAACCCTTGTGTAATTCGTGTATCAAAAGCGTCAATATCGTCTGGACCGAGACTGTTGCTACGTCACCTCTCAGGAATCTAATTTTAGACACTCTCGGTTTAACACATCACGCTCCTCGAAATATGACGGAGACACTGTTTCTTGCTTCCCCAACACCAGAGACACTAGGCGACAGTCTGACGGTGCCAGAAGATTTTCTCAAATCGTTACAGCTTCATACTCAAGTTCAAGCCCCGTGGGGGGCGCCTAAGAGTGCCTACCACATTGAGGAAAAGCTTCCGCGGCCAAATTAAAATGAGCCTGGTAAGAACTTTGCCTCATCCCTGAAGAGTGCGAGAGAGTTCTAACGTTTAGATCACAGGAAGTATCCTGATAGTTCTGATTCTTTGGACGTTAAGAGTCCACGAGTAGACTACCGGCTCAAGACAGTTTCATCAGCCGAAGCAATCGACGCTCGGTGATTGAACTTCTAGCTCGACTCAATCGAATACATGGTTACTGTGCTGATTGACGCGGGAATGTCTGCTGGTAGGGATCATTACACTATCGAAAAGATCCAAAAGTTGAAGCAATAACGTTTTGGATACCAGTAAATAATCAATATAACTTTTTTAAATGATATGAAGATGTCTAAACTTAATGTTGGTGTCTTTAGTTGAGTGGTACGAAGGGGATGATTAGCTAGTGAGTATCGCGTTCAAAAAATTGAACGAATGAAGGACGAGGTTCCAAATTCTGTGTACTTGCGATGCCTCTAATACTCCCAGATGTGTAGTTGTGATCTTGAAATTCGAAGATATTTCCATCAATTACATTTTTAGCAGTAGAAAAATACCACTTTGACTGTTCAAATCTGTAAACCATTCAATTCCCGCTTTTTTAAATGGTTTATTGCGCTGAATTTGCAGTGAATTCACGTAAAGTCGTCTCCTCGTTCCCATTAAAACTATGTATCTCTCCGAGTTAACAAGCATTCCAGAAATCATCTAATGAACCATGACTTCACACACAACAAATTTCGAAGAAAACTTTTTCTTCGAAATATAACCCATTCGCAATTGATTTAGATTATAGTTATTAAATCAAATTAATTGCAATTGCCCCCCAATAATTCTAATTAATAATTATTATGCTACTATTATCAGCACTCCAAATACAAAATATACACGAAAATTCGCGTAAAATTTTCTTATTCCGAATTATCAGAATAAGAATTAGATCTTCAATATAAACTCTTTTAACAATTCATCAATATTTAGGGATACAGTTATAATAAAGACTCCTTCTAAAGCCTTTATTATATCAAACACTTATTCTACTATTATCCTAAATACCCTAATATCTTCAAGCCCTTCCCCACCTTCTGAAAACCCTCAATTCAAAATCTCTAGCCCTATCTTATCAATTAATCAGCTAGTTAGTTCTGAAAAAAGATTTAAAGAATTCAATTTATTTAGTAATCCTTTTATTATTCAAGATACAATTAATACTATCTATATATTTAATTAGAATAAGAAACGGGGCCCTACAATACCCTTTAGCAATCAGAATAAACAATCTAGAATCCAAAACAACCCAAATATACCCAAGAAAGCTATTTTGAAAGCTAGAGACCTTATAATGCTAGCTTCCTCTCTCTCCCAATTACACAAAGAACAATCCAAGCTCTTAGATCTTCTAGAGATCTTTAGAGAATATATTGAAAAGGGGAAGCTTATTACAGCTTCGAATATTATCACTTCTCAAATCACTCATTGGAAATCGTTATACACAAAATCAAATCATAAGCGAAAGTATTAGCTAAATCTCTTTTACCCACTATTGCTATTACCATTATATTGAAACTAATATACATTGATATTTCAAAAAAAGAAGAATGGAATTTAGTTCCCAAAGGGAAAAACATTATATCTATTAATATAGAAAAGAAATCTAATTTTATCCAAAAACGAATTATTTTAATCAAACTAGATTTTCCAAATCCTATCTCCTTTTCCTCTCTAATTATTCCGAAACAAAATAAATGAAGCCTTTTAAAGATTGAAATCAAAGAGTCAGTTATTGTAGCAGTAATTATATCCTTTAATAATAATATTATTATTATAATAAATAATCCCTTTATATTATAATTCTTATTGGAAAAAAAAGCAATTTGGAGTAATATTATCAAATTCAAAAGAATCCAAAAGGATTAAGAATAGCATAAAGTCATTATTTATAAAATCCCAATTAAAGAATTTTTAAACACAAAAGAAATAGATCTTATATTCAACAAAATCAAAACCTTCAATCCAGACTTCAAGCTTATAAGAATCTCCTTTGGCTTATATTTACCTCCAGAAAAGCTTATCAACAAAAAGATACTATCGTTATTGCTTTTACTACAAAATCAGAAGTAGAATTAGCTATTCGAAAGTGATTATATATTACTGGAAATAGTATAAGAGTAAAACAATTCTACAAATCAAAATCAACTATATAATGTTAGAAATATCAAGGATTTGGGTATCAGGATGCTTATTATAAAAGGAACCCTTCCTATGGATTATATAAAGACAAGTATATTACATTAGTATACTTGTGTATAATATATAATATTAGAGGAAAGTTCTATTAATACTTAGAAATAAAATGCTCGAATTGCTAAGGGAATTATGCAGCAAATTCGAAAATATGCGAAATCTATTAGGCTATTTAACAAAAATCGAATACTACTCATTAATGAGTTATACTAATATTCGAATCCTTCAAATAAATCTTAATCGGAGTTTACAAGTTATAGAGAATGTTTTATAACTTGTAATAGAATTTAACATCAATCTCATTATAATTCAAGAATCTTGGATTATTAAAAACGGAATCGATTATTCAAATTCAAGATCTATTATATATTCTAATTTTATATAAATATTATCAAGACTCAATCCTAATTACTGGTTATGTATATTATTATATATATCAAAAACTCTTTAAGCTATAATCAATCTAGCTTTCGATTCTCTAATAGATTCTGATATACAGATTTTCAATTGTTAAAATGGAAATAAAACCTTTTAAATCATTAATATATATAACGAAGCTGATTAAGCTAAAGAGAAAGGTTTTATAATCGAAAGGTGCTTGTATAATATATCTATCATATAAGAAACTATTCTTTTAGGTGATTTTAATATCTATTATTTATGGTGGGATTCTTTTTTGAAGAAAAGCGGAAATGCTGATTAATTAGCTGAATGGTTTGAAGATCAGAATCTTATTCTTTTAAACAAACCTGGAATCAGTACTTTCTATCAAACTAATCTCCTTAATCCAAATATTTTTGATCTAATATTAATATTAAAGGAAATCTCTTCTCAAATTTACAATTGGTAAACGCTTTTAGATATAGGATTTGATTATGCAGAAATACTATTCGAATTAAAAGGAAAAGAAGATTTAAGTATTTTTAATACTAAATCAATAACTAAATACAATATTAAGCTAGTAAATTGAGAAAAGTTCAAATCAATATTCAAATCGGAATCCTTATATTCCTTTTATTCTATTGAATTTAGAATTAATCCTTTCAATCAAAGAGGATTCCTTAAACCTTTTGAAAAACAAAGATAATCACTATCTAACTTTAGATCAAGCAATAAGCGAACTTACTAGAATTATTTAAAAAGCAATAAAAAAATGTATACCTAAAATTGTTTCAATCAAAAAGACCAAACCATAATGAACATCTGAATTGAAAGATCTCCAAAAAGAGTTAAAAAAAGTAAAGCAAAGAATTGAATCAGATCTAAAGAATCATAGCTTTAAGGAAGGATATCGAATCGCTAAAAACAAATACTTTCAAGCTATTAAAATAGCAAAAAAGGATTATTGAAATAAGTTTTTAGAAAAAGAGAATACAAAGACAATTTTTCAAAGCAATAGTCTATACTAAAGACTTTCAAGATCAAAGGATACCGGATATTGTAATAAAAAGCTCTTTTGAAAGAAAATACTCTGCTTTCAGATTAACTTTATTTTTATTTCCTTCTATTATCCCAAAACTATAATGGGAAGGGTATAAACAATCCAAGTAATAGAAATGATCTAATCTTATTCAAATCGAATTAAGTAATACCTATTCAATCAAAATCCAAGGAAAAACCTCTGGTCTAGATAGAATCACTTAAAAGATTATTATAAAGGCTTACAAAGCAATCCTACAAATCTTTTTTACTCTTTTTAGTAAACTTATTAATCTAGGATATTATCCGAAATGTTGAAAACAAGTTATAGGAATTATTCTAAAAAAAGCTTTCAAATCAGATTATTCCTTTTCAAAAGTATATAGAGTAATTACACTCTTAAATTGTCTAGATAAAATAAGCAAAAGGATTCTAGTTTAACGATTAGAATATTTAACGGAAACAATCTATCTCCTTTATAAGAATTAAATAAAAGGATGTTAAAAGAAATCAGTAATCGATACTACACTTTTACTAATTATAGAAATTGAAAGAAATAAGTAAGCTAGTAAAAAGATTTCAATATTATTTATAAATATAAAGGGAGTATTCGATTACATTTCGAGAAATCAACTATTAGATATTTATAAAAAGCTAAAACTACCCACAAATCTGATAGCCTGAATAGCCTTATTTCTTCAATAAAGATAATTGAAATTATCTTTTAATAATCAAATCGAATTTTTCAAACAATTTCGATTGGAATATTATAAGACAGCCCGATTTCTCTAATTCTTTTTCTTATATATATCAGAGAGCTCTTTTTATTTAATTCGATTAAGTTTCTTTTTTATATAAATGATATTACTTTAATTATATATTTATTTATATGAAAAAAGAATATCAAAACCCTAGAGAAAGTTACAAAACAAATCTATGAATTCAGTTTTAGAAATGCAATTCAATTCGATTTGGTAAAAATAGAGCTAATGTACTTTTTATCATCCAAATTAACGAAAAAATATTCAATTACACTATTTAATTCGGAAATAATTATACCCCAATCTCTTATTAGATGGCTGGGAATATAATTCGATCTGAATCTCAAATTCGATTAATATATTAATATTCGAATTATATAAGCGAAAGATGCCTTCCATCAAATAGCTTGATTAGCTAATACCGAAAAGAGCCTTAATCCTAAAGCCCTTAGATAATTATATATAGTATGTATAACCAGTATAGCTGATTACAGATTAGTGATTTGGTGGAGAGATCAAATTCATTTCAAGAATATAATGTAATCGCTTCAAAACCTAGTTTTTCGAAAGATATTAGGAATCTTTAAAATAGTCCCAATCCTTTTAATGGAAATAGAAACAGGCCTAAAGCCCCAAAAATTCGATTAGATTTAAATATTAGACAATATATATTTTGTCTAGCTAAACTCTCACCAAATTATCCAATTAATATCGAAAAAGAAATATCAGCTCAATATCAAACCGATTTAAAAGTAATCCTTATTCCTCAAAAAAACAATATAAATCAATCTAACTTAATAGAATTAAAGAATTAATAAATCAGAATCTCAATCCTATTTCACTTAAAAAGATTATTCACTTCAACTTCCCCTTATAAAAAAGGAAATTCCCTTTAAAATTAATATTAGTAATTCATCAAAAGAAGATACTGCTATTCTTCATAATATCGTTTTCAATTATAGAGATAAGGATACTACTTACATTTATACTAATACCTTTTCTATTAAAAAAGGAATAGGTATAAATATAGATATAATTGTAATACAATCAAACAATCAAATTTTATATCAATAATAATTGAATATTGATAGTAATCAACTAATATATAATAAAGAGCTTTACAGAATTATTAAAGCTATTGAATATACTAGTACAATTGTCTATATTAGCAACAAATTCAAGATATATTCAGATAACCAAGCTAATCTATATTACTTAAAAACATTATCAGACCATTCTGGATAGGCCTATCAGATTCGAACAATCAAAGCAGCAGAAATCATCAAAGCAAAAAGAACTGAAGTATTTCTAAATTGGATTCCAGGATATACTTTAGTAAAAGGAAATAAGCTAGCAGATAAATTAGCAAAGAAAGCAACCATAATATATTCTATCTCAAACGAAACAAGTTTTGGACTTCTAGGTATGATAATCAAAGAATATGATTCAGATTAATAACTTTCTATTCTCAATTAATACAAACTCAGATCAAATTAATCCCCTTTAACCTATTTAAAGCTATTTCTATAGAAAATAGAATCGAAAATCAAGCTATTAAGTGAAACCAAGTGAAACACTATTAATACATATTTTTAACTCAAATTAGATTATGGATATATCAAATCTTATTTATATCGATTCAAACTCTTTAATAATAAATGTATATATGATAATATTAAGGCTTTATAACACTTCCTTATTAATTATCCTATATATAAAGTAGAGAGAAAAGAAATATTCAAGAATATATTATTATCTAAGATTATTATATAATTCCTACTCTATACAAAAGTAGATATTGAATTAGCCATTAAATTTATCAATATCATTAAAATCGCTATAAGAGTATAATACCTAGCCAGAGCTTTTATACAAAACAAAATAAAGGAAGAAATAGTAATAGAAAAGAAAAGAGAAAAAAAGAATAAAGAAGAAGTAATTAGAGAAATAAGAGAGAGCTTTGATTTCCTTATAATTCTTAATTTTCACAATTTTCTTATTATATACAATATGTATAATAAACGGGCACTGTTCCCTAGTATTTATTTTTACTTCCCTAAATCATATATATCTATTTTTGTAGAATAAAAAGTTATCCGCTAGAGTCTTTAGAGGTCTAGCTGTCCTATATAGTCTTAGACTAAAGATAGACATAAATGAAATCAATCAATCAATCAATTCTTACTTCATGAGGCTCTACATGACTAAATATCAATTCTAATGTATCAAAACTAGATTTCGAATGTAATTATGTCTTTTCATCTGATGATACTGTAGCCAGGGTGAGGCAAATTTTGAATTGCACTCGATAAATCTTGATGAATTAAATCGCCCCTGAGGTGAATTATATAGGACTTGATGAGCACAAAATTACATTATCTCCAAATTACCCATGTACCTGCTATATTGAATCTCAAACGTCCCGCCTGAAAGAGATCAATGACTAATAAATATGTGATAGCTCCCGATCAAGCTCAAGGTTCTTTGTCATTTTACCGTGCTGAGTTCTTCGTTCAAAAGACTTTCTGACATCGATAACACAAAATGATAGACTCCGGTACTATTTTCTGGCAATTCCGAGCTTCTTCGACTATGGAGACCGACATGCTCAGCTTGGTCTAGAACAACTCTCGTCGCCGGTAAAGCATGTAAATGAGATTGGGATGAGATAGAGTTTCTAAAAGTATGGCCAGAACTCACAACTAGTATTCACTAATTTTGATACTTCAATAACATATTAGTCAATACACCTGGAATGAGCTGCGGATTCAAAGATCCCTACTTACTACCAGGTAATCACTGCCATTAAGATCGCGATAATGTATACCAGAGACACAAACTGATCCATTATCTGGACATACACGGTATCATCTTCCCCCGTCAACACCACTCCACCAGTCAATGCCCCGATGTAATGTTCATCTTTAATCTTCAGTATCTTCTCTAGTCGAGAAACTTTCCATCTATAAAATGCGAGGACGATGATTATTGTGAAAACTGCGGTAAAAGACACAACTCTGAAAAAATGTATCTCATTGTCTTTTCGATGTATGGCTTCAATATCTGGTGTGTAGAAGTAGGTGCGCTTCTTATTTCCAGCGTCGCATTTTTCGTCGAAAGCTGGCTTATCTTTTCTGAGTTTAAAGCCCGCCATTTATCATGAAATAGTGAAGTAAAGTCGGAGAATTTATTATGTGTAAATTTCTCATGTCTTTCTTATGTTGTATTTATAGTTTGTATGTGGTGGTGCCCTACAGCTACCTAATCAATTTATATACGACAGCTTCTAAAGCATGGTCTGTGCGGATGAGCCCTAAAAGCTTATTAGATACATAGCCCATTCGCTCGTAGCTGCTCCTATGTTTCAATACAGCAGATATGATACGGCAATGATAGCAAGATTCAAATCGATTACGGCTAAGCGCGGGTTAATACACTGATTGTATCTTGATGTACTTATCTATACATGGGTGTTTTCTTCATGTCAATAAAAATTAGTCACCTAAGCTAATCCACCCTCTTAAACTGTTGTTGATTTTGTCAGAACGTTCAATATCTTCAAAATACTCTCATTCATTAGTTTCAATACTTTTTCAGAATTTTTGAACATAACATCTCAGTAGACGAAAGCTATCATCTCAAGCAAAAATTACCTGCGACATGCCTTCCAATGTTTACAACAATCGAGAATCCTGTCCGACGAAGGTACGTATCAACATGGTAAAAAGACTTCCATTTGCATAGAATACTAATGAATTTGTAGGACTATGATACAATGACCCAAAGCGAAGCTATCGATGCGATCAAAACACGAACAAAGTCCCTCGAGCGTCTTATGGTACACAAGAACCCGTCTCTCAGGCAGAAAGCCGAAGAATTGGCATTGAAGACGAAAATGATGAACCTCAAAAGGTCAAATCCCGCTCTAAAAATTGTCCAAAATCAAGAAATACTCAACTTGAGCTGGAACTGGTAATGCTCAAGCATCGTCAGATCATTTCTGTGGTCAATAAAGATTTGAACAATCTCTTCCGTTATACTTTAGACGCGAGGTTAAAGATTCTCCACGAGCATCGTCAGGAGTTTCAGGTGGATATCAAGACTGTTGAGGAATACTTATTTCTCTTAAGAAAACTGCAGCCTGCGAACGACAAAGACTGGGCACGAAAGATTAGGTAGGTTGAAATGTACCCCTTCATAAGTCTACGTCGTTAGTAGAGTCAAGCGCTGACTTTCACAACCTAGCATCGCCTCAGAGATAATGACTGAATCTACTGTCATGCGCAGCAATATCGAGGCCCGCATCCAAGAGGTAGAAAATTTCCTATCCGAGATGGCAAGTGAGAAAGTAAGCTTAAAGAGAAGAAAAGAAATGGTGCTAGATCTCGGAATACGCCATGGAATCTATGGGACCACACTTGTAAGTCATTGAGTTCTATTCCGCTAGTTTATGTGGTATAAATCGATTCTCAAGAGTTCTACTGACAATTTCTTCAACTATAGACTCTCCGCGACCATGATAAATTTCCCCAGGATAGATACAGGAAACTGATTGACGTAGACTCATTAGAGAAGCAAGTTCGTGGGGCCGAGGTGGTTTTCAAGAAGTTAGGACTGTAGTGAAATTTAAAGATGTAAGGGCTTCCATAAGTCTTTGACTTGAATACCGCGTGGCAAAGATGTATACTTGGGGCCCTGTTGCCATAAAAAAATAATTGTATTTACTTGCTCCTCATGTTTACGAGGAGTTTCTAAGGCAAATGGACATAACAAATTTCGAAGGAAACTTTTTCTTAGAAATATAACTCTTTCGCAATCGATTTAGATCATAGTTATTAACCAAATTGATTACAATTGCCCCCAAATGATTCTGACCAGTAATTATTATAATATTATTGTTAATATTCCAAATACAAAATGTACACAAAAATTAGCATAAAATTTTTATTTCAAATTATTAAAATAAGAATAAAATCCTCAACATAAATTATCTCAATAATCCATCATATTTGGGGATACAGCTATAATAGAGACTTCTTCTAAAGCTTTTATTATACCAAATATTTATCCTATTGTTGTTTTAAATACCCCAATACCTTTAAGCCCTTTCTCATCTTCTGAAAACCCTTAATTCGAAATCTCTAGTCCTATTCTATTAATCAATTAGCCAATCAGTTTTGGAAAAAAAGTTAAAGAATTCAATCTACTTAATAACCTCTTTATTACTCAAGATATAACTAATACTATCTATATATTTAATCAGAATAAGAAATAATGCTTTATCATACCTTTTAGTAATTAAAATAAATAATCTAGAATACAAAATAAGGCAATTATATTAAAAGAAGCGATTTTAAAAGCAAGAGATCTTATAATACTAGTCTCAACTTTTTTTCAATTATATAATAAGCAATCGAAGTTATTAGATCTTTTAAAGATCTTTAGAGAATATATCGAAAAAGGAAAGCTTATTATAGCCTTTAATATTATTACATCCCAAATCACTCACCTCGAATCAGTTATACAGAAAATCGAATCCCAAGCTAAAATACTAATCAAAAATCCAATCCTAATTATTATAATACCAACTAAATCAACTTTTATAACTATAGCAAAAGAAGGAGAATGGAATCTAATCAATAAAGGAAAAGCTATTAAGCCTATTTCAATAAACAAAAAGATTAAAATCACTTAAAAACACCTAATCCTAATCAAACCAGAAATCCCAAATTTTACTTTCTTCTCTTTCTTAACTATTTAAAACAAAATAAACGAAGTCTTTCAAAAGAATAGAATTAAAAAGTTAGTTATTATAGTAGCTATTTTATCCTTTAATAATAATATTATTATTATAGTAAATAATCCCTTTATATTACAATTCCTTTTAAAAAAGAAAACTATTTAGAATTGTCAGAAATAGACAGTAAGTTATGCATAAGGAGTAATATATTGAAATATATATATCAGATCTATATATCCAGAAAGTCCGAAGAAGGAGTTTTATAATGGTGTATATGTGTTACATATATACTATATATATAATTTCCAATATCCCCTTATAATAAGAATCTATTATCTAAATTATATAAACTCTTTATATATATATATTTGTAAAAAGCTTTATTAACTTCTGCGATAATATCAACATTCCAAAGTTGTCTGTGGTGTCTACATTTCTAGTGGAGTTTGATAGCTTTACGATTTAATATTATATTGTAGTATAAGAGTACTCTTATCTAAATCCTATTTTTTTACCTATATCAGATCGGATTTAATCTATTTAGTAATTCGAGTATTAATCTGTTTTTGTAAAATCCTCTTTGTATGTATATCAACGGATTGCTTTGGATTTATTATCTTCGGATTATAGGGTTATCTTTTTAATATAATAAATGACTCAAATCCAATTTCATGTAAATAGATCTTTAGTTTATTTGTTATTCTATATGGTTTTCTTAAAATAATCAATTTGATTAATTTGGTTAATTTATAATAAATTAATCAATTCAATTAATTTGGACAATTTTTGATAAATTCAACAAATCTGATGAATATAGTGAATTTGATGAACCTAATGAAATTGTGTGAAATAGGTGTATTAATGATTTTTATCAATTTAATCAATTTGGTCAATTTAGTTAATTTAGTTAATTTGGTTAATTAATTAATTTGATCAATTTGAATTAAATCAATCAAATCGATTAAGATAACTGATTTGATCAAATACAACTATTGATTTTTTTTAACACATTTGTGTTTAATATTCTAGATCTAATTTTAAACCTTTTCTATGAGTTATAAAGTCAGGGTATATAAGCTGTTTTGTAAGAATATCAATTATCTATTCAATTCCTAGAATCCATATGATATATAGTCTTTTGGTGTTAATTATATCTTTCGAATATAGTATTATCGAATATCGATATGCTTTGTTTTATTATGGAATTTATTTTCTTGTATTTAATCAACTCTATTAGTGTTGTTATAGTATAAAGTTGGGATAAAGGGTTTTTTCTCAGAACGTTTTTCTAAGTTTTTTACTAGCTTTTTTATTCAAGCTAATTCTTTTGCATCCTCGTTTATTATTATAATTTCAGCTTTTATTGTATAAAAAAAACATCGATTTCTATTTTATTGAAGATTATATTATAGTTTTTTTATATTTGATGAGAGTTATTCTTTGAATAGATTTTCTGTTAGCTACAAATCTTCAAATTGAATCTATATAAGCTTGATATTTATATATAAGTATGTTTAATTGATTTGAATAGATTGTGCTTATTGAGTATATGTTAGTAAGATATTAAAACAAGTATTTTGCAAGTATTAAATGATTTTTCTCTAGTGTATGTATAATATGACATTCCTTTTAACTGGCTACAGCACAGTGGAATGCGGTACCCCACAAGGCTCACCCCTTTCGCCAGTCCTGTACATGCTTTATTTCGCAGAGCTACTCCAGCAAGACCCTAAACTCCGATTCGGGTATACAGACGATATCTGTTTATACCGATTATCGGCAAGCGTTCAACAAAACATCACAATGCTAGCAAAGATATAAAAAACATATTCTATTGAAAAGCTAGAAACAAAATAATCTTCGCATTCGAAAAGATGAAGATGATTTATATAATATAATACAAGCATTTCATCAATCTAATATACGAAATAAACCGTAATTGCATTATCTCTCCAATCATATTAGAATCAGCTCTATAATGGCTAGGTGTATAGTTTGATCGCAAGTTTATATTTAAATAGTATATTGAAATGCGAACAGTTAAAGGCTGGAAATTGGTTTTATTATATTCAAGGGCTAGTCTGGATCACAAATGGACCTCTAGCAGTATCCTTATGGAAAGTAGTGATCATTTACTTATACCTAGTTTTATTTTATAGGGTAGAGGTATGATATACAGGATAAATAAAAACCACTGGATAGCATCAAAATGGGATATTAATAATAATAAATACTCGATTAGGAAAAGCAATTCTAGTTATCAATAAGGTTCTATGAATAATAATTAGAGAAATCCTTCCAGTTTGGCGAACAATCTCAAATACAGTGATAATAAGGGACAATGCTTTTTCACTAATAAAAGTAATATTAAAACAAATAAATGAAGAGCAGCTCTCTATGCTCAAACTATTGATCCAAAACATTCTCTTTATTATCAAGGGATAAGAGCTACCTACTCCTCTAGCAATAGAAAAGGCCAATTACAGCTAGCTAGAATAAAGGTTTAGATGATTAGCTAATGCCTTCCTCGAATCAAGGAGATAATTTTAGTAGGGCCCTATTATATATCAGAATGTTGAATGGATTCTATTAGAGGTTTTATAAAAAAAATAATAGCAAAGTAGTTTTAGGAATGGTGGAATAAGTATATATATGATTAGATCACTATATTCTCTAATGGATCGGAACAGACCGATAAGGATAATAGGCAAATAGAATATGGATATATTATATATAGAGGATAAATAATAATATATAAAGGAAACAGTAGATTGCATTATAACTTTTATGTATTCGACACAAAAGCGATCGGGGTATACCGAGACCTTTAAGTAGTGATTAGAAATATTACTGATATAAAACAAATGGAAATCTATATGTATATTAATAGCATATTGGTGATATAGGGAATGAGAGGTACAGCCTTTATCATATTGCAATGGGCTTTCCTCAAATGTTACAAACTAATGTAAATGTATTCAATCCAGATCAAATAATTACTAAATCATACAAGAATCAAAGGGAATGAGTATATAGATACATTTGTTGATAAAGGAATAAGAAAATCAGTTTAGGGTATGCGAATCGATCTATAATAAATAATATCCATTCTATAGCAAAAACTGTTATAGAATCGGCAGTACAGATATAATGAATCAAATAGAAATCAATACTCTCCAAACAGTATTAGAAATGGAATCCAAGGAATATAAATAAATATCTTAATAAACTAAAACTCTTATAAGTTATTCTCTATTATATACTAATAATCCGCTCAGTATATAGCAATTTTGAAAACTATTATTGATAATTTAAATATGAGGAAGTAACAATTTATTGCTTATATAGTGTATATAAATCCCTTGAGTATATTGTATACTGCTGCAAAATCCTTACAATCTATGAAACCTGGTCCTTAGATATCAGGCCCAAATACTCACCTTACAATCAAGCAGCTTAAGAATAATTATTGAAATAGCTAATGCATACACCAACCAAGTTCGCTGAATTTATTATTATAACAAATTTCTATAGGAGCATATACCCTAAAACACTACCAGAAGAATAGAAAAAGGAAATGGAAATGGATTGACCGATCCGGGTGAATACAAATACAGAATAGAAGGCAATCGATATAATAAGGCTATAAAGAACAAAATCGATATATACAATATACTACGCTATACTAAAATATATACAAAAGCTACCCTTACAGGATAAAGCAGCTCTCAATCAAAACATTATATAAAAGATCGGAAAGCGTGTATAGAAACACTCAGAGGATTGGAGACAAAAGCATAAGCACGCTAGCTATCGTTTGGAAGGCTACTAAAAGTATTGAGATCTCATTTTTAGGAGAGGGGGATCATGTAAATTAGAG